AAGGAAGAATACAGCTGAAGCTGCATTTGTGTGTGATGTAATGACAAAGTTTATGTGATGCCAACCAATACTCGTTGTCACTTCCGTAATGCTTGTTGTAGTAGAGACTTTGTAATCGCAGATGCAACTGTAGTACACCGTTAAACAATACTAGTGTCAGACGCTTTAGATTAGCAGTCGCATTAGTAATACTTGCTCGGTAATACTCGCTCGAATAGTAATCCGTGTAGTGAGTCCGAATAGAGAAATAGTATAGAGAATAGAGTAGAGAACAGTGGTCCGTATATTAATAGAGGATAGAGTAGAAATAGCCGATCTGAATAGTATAGAGGATAGACTAGGAAAAGCGATTAATTAGACGTCACGCGAATTCCTATTTATGCGTTTCCTCTAAGGTCACATGGTCTGCTTAATTCAATAATGGGATTGCCTGTATTTGCTCACTGGCGATCTATGTTCAAAGTCATGTGTCGGCAGCGACACTTTATTCCTATATAACAAAAGTAAATTGAGTTAAACATTTCGTTAGAAGGTGGAAATAAATCAATATATGATATGATGCAAAAAAATTCTTTCATTTAGAAAGAAGTTGTTATTTTTCAAGTCCTTTCTTAATTAGTCAAAACTTTCAGAAGATGACTTTCCCTATTTGTCGAAAGTAATGAGTGAATGTGAAGAAAATATCTCTGAATCTTTTCAGGAATACCAGTCAGTTTTTGACGAAGCTGAAACATTGCGCCACATTAAGATTTTAAGATTATAATATGAAACCTGTTTCCAATTTTATAAAATAGGAGTCTTTATTCAGCGCTTCACTTGTTTGATTTGGGTAAGTAGATTGGTAAAATCTGGAGACAACTTCTGCCAGTGCCAGTTTAATAGCTTAGCTCTTCCCCTGACAACCTACCGACCATCTCGTCACGGTTTTCGGTTTTTCGATTTTATTCATTTTTTTTTGTTGTTTTGTTTTTACAGCGACTACAGGAGAACTTCTGACAGCCAAATGGAGCTTCGGTTTAAAGATACCTTTTTTAACCTCTCGCTCTTCAACTTGCTTTGGAACGATCAGTTACTTCGGAGACCTTCGGAAATATCCACAACCACTAAAGTGAAATTTTAGGGAAATGCACGAAAATCAATGGATATTTTATTTAAGCGGGAGAACTTGTTTGAATAACTAGGCCTAACCATGCCATCTTTCTGAAATCGCTGGGGTGTAAAGATTTCTAGCAAATCACCATTTTTTAAGTCACATCCCGGCATTCCTCTTCCTTGTGTTATTTTTTTTATCACGCCATTATAAGTCAAAGGTCTGGAAACTACAACCCTCCGTGACATTTTGAACGTCGCACTGTAACATCTGGTTTGTACTTTAATATGACATTTCGTCAGGTCAACCCTCCATATGAAATAGGCCATGATTATGATTCTTGAAAATTAATTTTCCCTTTGAAATTATTATTTATCAAATAAGAAAATCTTTTTTTCGGGTATTTTACTTATATATTTCGTCCGAATGGAAACAGTATCGGTTTCTTGTGACGATGTTCCTCAGTCCTCTTTCTAATTCCAGAACCGTTGCGGTCAGAATCAATGAGTTTTTTTTTGATTATTAATCTCTTCTAATCTCACGACTAATCTGACTGACACATATCTCAGTTGTGTTGTGGAGTGATTTCACAGTGGAGGCGTGTATTTTATACTAAGTCAGTTCTAAAATAGGTTCGACGTACAAAACGTTAGGAACTTCATATAATAGGTATGACGCAGAATAATCTAGTTATGGTCGCTGATAGTTTAGTATTCGACTAACTGTCGTCCGACATCGACTGACTGACCGTCTCCTCTCAGCGACCCCGACATTACTCTTACTACTCCTACTTATTATAGGTGGGATAGTCTATTAACTATAGAATAGGTGTGTTCCACTATAACATCCCCCACTAAAACTTTACTCTGTAGGAGTAAACAGTTTTCTTTATCTATTTTTTTATTTTTTACAGGAAATATGAAGAAAAACAAACAAAAAAAACTTCATTTTTTTTTTAGCAACATTGTAGCGTATCTCCTACGTTTTTGATCCACTTTTAAATGATCAGTTGCCTCTCTTTTTTCTCCTTGATCGGCGTACCTCAGGTAAAATTGTTGCAGGCGTTGTTAGATCAAACGTATCAAAAATCACCTCCATCAGCATTTTTTCCGTGGGACCGCTGTCAACCACGTCTGAAAAACGTCGTCTGATCTGGTTACTGCACGTGAATTTTTCGCCTTTCACTAAGTACATCATATTGCCAATCCGCTTTTCTATTTTTTGGTACCTCCACAGTGTTACCAGAAACAACCTTCCGCTTTGAGCTTCTTAAGGATTTCTACTTTCTGTAGTTTCTTCTTGTGGTTCTATTTGTTCAGCCTCTAACTTCCGTTTTGTTGATCTTGTGCTTCTTAACGTTTTCTGTGGTGACTTCAGTTGACTTAAATCATTTAATAATACTGCATGTCCTTGGCTGCGGGTAACTCACTCCCCAGTTTTTCTCGGTGTCGGCTTCATCTTTACTTTCTGGGGCTTTTTTTCACTTATATCGTCGGTGTTACCCACCTAACTTTTTTAAATACACCGTTTTTCTCTAATCTGTCCAATTCTTTATCTATCTGTTCAATTGAAGCAAACAGAACATTCCTTTTCTTTTTGAATACCACCTGAGCATTTTCTTTTGGCTGTAATTTTGCCTCCATCTTGGTACACGTTCCCAAACCTGGAGAAAAAACAGTAGGAAATGTTTCCTTAAGTTTCCTTACTAATTTTTGAGCTTCTGAGTTTAAACTTTCAACCTTGTAACAGAAAGAATTTATCGGTAGATTCCATAATTGAAATTCTGTTATCCAATTCGTACCAAGTAAGTTCATGGCATTTTCTATGACAAATATTTTAGCTTTTCGCGTTTTTTTATTTAACGTGACGTTTGTAACAAATTCTCCAATAAATTGTATTTTTCTCCCGTCACTGACCTCGCGATTTTATTTGTCTTCATTAAAGTTGGTTTCCCTAACTTCTTCCACGTATTCAAATTTATGATAGATAGGTCGGAACTAGTGTCGGGTTGCATTTTTATTTCTTTTATTACTTATTTCGACGGTAACAAATTTTCTAGTTATTCCATCGTTCACTTCGTCGGACTTTAATTTTTTTATTTTATTGTCTTTAATTTTTGACCTGCAGTGCGAGCTTTTATGACCCACTCTTTTACAGTTGAAACATTTTTTATTCCTAAAATTGCAATATCTGTACCAGTGAAGTTCACCGCAAGCAAAACATGGCTTCGGGAGTTTTTGTTTATTTTTCTTTCGTATTTCACTTTTTGTTTGATAATCCGCAATTTTAGAATTCTTTTTGTTAGACTGACTTTCTTTTTTGTAGCGTATTTTCCTTACATGCGAAACGCCAGACTGTTCTATCTTTTTTTAATCTTTCTTTACGCTAACATATCTTGTGCAATCTTCTGCCAAACTCTGTATCGTAATCCTTGGTTGGTTTTCCAATTTTGTCAGTACTAATTTTCTCAACTCTGCGTCTCTCTCCGATACCACCCCTGGACAAACACTAAACACTTAAAATTGTCAGCGCTTAACTCTGCCAGCTTGAATTCTTCATAATGCTTATTCACATTGGCTGCGTACGTTATATAGTCTTGTTCATCTTTCATCAGATTCAAACATTTCCACCTCTTGTGAAACAAAGATGTCTTTTTACTAAGTAATTCACTTAATATATTTACCGCCTCGGTAAATGTCAACTCGCTAGTTTTTTTCGGTAAAATGTAGTTTACCAATTTGTTATGCTCAGCAGTTCCTAACTTGCTTAAAAGAAGTCTAACCTTCTTTCCTTCAGACCACGAGTGGCAGTCCTCGTTATACACGTCCGTATATTTTTTATAATACTCTTCAAAAGTTATTTCTTCGTCTGGACTGTACGTGAATATTTCAATTGAATTTCATATTGTATTCTCGGAAAGGAGCATTTTGTAGATTTTTCTCTTTCCTCTTCTTAGTTATTTCCAGAATTTTGTTTTGAAACTCCCTATGCATCTGTTCCATTTTTTGTTGAAATTGCATCTGTCTATTAAAAGTTTCCTCCTGTAGTTGCATCTGGAATGTTTTCTGTTGCTCTAATATTGTTATCTGTTGCTCCGACTGGAATTTTAAAAATTCCTGGAATATATTTTTGCATTCCTCCATCTTCACAAAAATTTACACAATGCCTAAATAGTGTAGAGGGGAGGGGTCTTGTCTTTCGAAAAACTTTGCCCAGTTTTTTTTTCTTCTTTTTTTTAATGTGAATCCGAGATTTTGTCGCCGAAAATATTGTGACGAGCAAGTTTTTTTCTTTTTCCTCCGTATGAGTACGAATTTCGTCACCAAATAATATTGTGGCGAACAAATTTTTTTTTTCCTCTTCCACCGTATGAATCCGAATCCCTCGTCGCCAATTTGTTATGTGGCGAACGAATTTTTTTTTTCTTCCACCGAATAAATTCGAATTCCTCATCGCCAACTTTGTTGTGGCGAGTGATTTTTTTCTCCGTATGAGTACGAATTCCTCGTCGCCAAATTTGTTGTGGCGAACGATTTTTTTCCTCCGTATGAGTTCGAATCCTCGTCGCTTGTATTTGTACTAAGTCGGTCCTAAAATAGGTTCGACGTACAAAACGTTAGGAACTTCATATAATAGGTATGACGCAGAGTAATCTAGTTGTGGTCGCTGATAGTTTAGTATTCGACTAACTGTCGTCCGACATCGACTGACCGTCTCCTCTCAGCGACCCCCACGTTACTCTTACTACTCCTACTTATTATAGGTGGGAGAGTCTATTAACTATAGAATAGGTGTGTTCTACTATAACACGTTGATAGGTAGTAATTCTGCGCTTTGTTTTATAAAGATTATTTATATATATATATATATATATTTAATTTTGTGAATTCGGTAAGTTTTCCTCTTTGCATTATATATAAAATAATAGATAGATAGATAGATAGATAGATAGATTAGACTAGCATTAGATAGTGTTATAAGTCACTCATAGTGGTTTTAATATTATGTCTGGCTTAGACTTCTCGCCGTGACGTCGTTAGAAATTCTACTCGACTGACTCCAATGGCTTAGTATTCACTTTTGTAGAAATACAATAAAATGTGGGGCTGGGAAAGTTTGGTCATCATCTGTCTTATCTTAAAATCAGCTAACCACAATCATTGACCTAAACAAACTATACAATATTCCTTGCACCAAAATACCATATAATCACCATTCTTACGACAACCATCATAATACTTCAAAATCACTATGAAGTCCTAATTAATCCTCATATGTACAATTTGTCTGTGAAGGTTGGAAAGAGAATAACAACATTTAAAAATGAAAACCCCAATGAATAATATGCATAATATTATATATACAAGAAACTAAACAAAATGGCATTAGTAATAATAAAAAAAACAATCCTTAACTGTCACAGAAATATCAGTTAACTGGACGAAATTAATGCGAGATTTGGACGAATTAAAAACCAATCATTCGACCAACCACACACACAACTACACACTTATTCAGACACGACAACAAATACAAAAGAACACACTCTAAAAACGAAAAGTGTCACACGTTTACTAGAGAACTGACATTGCCTGTCACCTAATGGGGGTAGAGGATTTGGAATTAACCTAATGAAAGTGGGGACAAAAATAAAATATGCATACATCCCCTAGCTGACTTAACTTGACGTAAAAAATAAAAATAGAAAAAACAAGCATAAACTACCATATTTTTGGGCGGAGGTGCCAATGTTTAATACAAGGCTCCCAATAACCTCATGCCTAACCGACATCAAAATTCCGCCCTAAATCAGTTCCTTTCACTCGACAGATACGCACAAAACTTACCCACCTTTTGCCAAATTCTGATCCAGGGAATCGTCGCCTTTTCGTCCTGTTCTTGTCTTTAAACTGATTCTTAAATAACAAGGTCAGTTAGGAAATGGTAAACTTCTCGTCTCCATAGAAATACTTCTGTTGCGTCATCCATATCACGACTCGCATAACACCAAGTAAGCACAAGAATATTCAAGAAGCTACAACATTGCTACAAACTGGCCCCAGGGACAAAGAATTTCCCGCGTAGCCATGATGCCTTTAATAAACTTGCACAATGGGCCTACGACCTTGCAGTGGAAGAAAGCGTGACCCTGGGTCTCCACCGACTCATTCCCCCGGACCACAGACGAACTGCGCCCTCGACGTTTTCCCGCATCGCCAGCCAATTTATTTCCAGCAAAAGATCGGGACCGAACCAGACGCCGAGTTTCTTGACCGGCCAGTCGAAAGGAGAAGAAAGGCCCGAGAAGAGAAAATCCCTTCCACACGATCAACTGCAAGCCAAAAGACTTATAGCGGTTAATCTTGGTCCTTGTCAGCGTCTCGTAGCCTCCGATCTCATTGCCGACTTCGTCAGTCTCGGCCCTGCTCCACACAAGAACAGAAACGTCATCAGCATAGGCAGGGTACCTGGTCGATGTGGTAGCACCAGGTAAGGAGATTCCGTGTAGGACCGGATTTGACTTTAACTTGCGAAGGAAAGACTCCAACGCAAGAATGTAATACAAAGGCGAAAGCGGGCAACCTTGACGAATGGAGAGTGACAACACAAAAGATTCCGAGCGTACCTCAATCACTACCACCAGCGCAACGAGGGACGCGTACAGAAGTCGGATCCAAGTGCGAAAATACGGATAGAAACCGGCGACCGAAAGGACAGTCTCCAGAAAATGATGTTCAACCCTGTCGAATGCCTTGGACTGATCTAAACTGATCAGCGTAGCCTCACTGTCGACTTGCTCGATGATCAAGCGTGCCATATGAAGGTTGTGGATTCCGAGATCAAATTCGGTGTCCAATGAATGACAAACGCAAGAATTAAATATAAGAAATAAAATGTATCTGCACAATAATACAAAGGGTAATACTGTTAGTAAATCCAGGAACGCAGTTAGTAACAATAACATATAGATATATACAGTCTCGAAGTAGGACTTCCTTAGAGTCTACGTGCTTGTAACTGACTTCTACAAGCGGTTACCTCATACTATTACTCTACCTCCAACTCAATCACAATCTCAGTCTTCTTACTCTCTCTCTACTCACTCTCTGTATACTGACTGGCTGTCTAACACTGGGTATTTAACGGCAGCAGTACAAATACATACTGGTCGAGTTCACTTATATGAAAACTGAGTGGACCTCATAACACTATCCTATCCACTTGATTACACCCTTAGTGAAACGCTGAAGTATAGACCCCCTCCTTCATCCAGTTGTTGTAAATCGGTTCCAGCAAGGGAACAAGAACAGACGACTGCCTCAAGTGCATTTCGTAAGGAAGACCATCTAATGGAAACTTCGCATCCAGCTGCTTCAGTCTCCGCGAAGCGAAGAAAGTCGGCCAAATAGAACAGAATAGGGCTCAGACTGGGTTCTATGATAAACAGATCCTGAAAATTGTCTCGAAAAGCCTCACAAATACCTGCGTTTGTAGTCACAGTTCGCATATCTGGCAATCTGATGTTCGCGATTGGAAGCATTTCATAAGGAAGACCATCTAATCCCGGCCAGCCAGCTTCATCGCTTCCCAGATCTCAGACTGCAATGAAACCCTCGTACCCAGCCGCTTCAGCCGCCTCAAGGAGAGTAGGGAGGGGAAGTCGACTAAATAGGCATCGAAGTGAGCAGGGCTCAGATCGGGTTCCCTGGTGAACAGATCCTGAAAGTAGTCAAGAAAAGTCTCGCATATGCCGGCGTTTATAAACACGTTCAGTTTGAACAATGCTAATATAATAAAACCCTCCGTCGTGACTTGTGACTTTGTGCTAGCACAGCCATTGGTAACTTCCCAAAATTTCTTTCGACCAAGTTTCACTCGCAAGGCTTGGCTGAACCCATGGTATGATGTTCAGGCACTTTTCAAAGGTTCCACATACAGGGATCATCTCCTTAAAGTGGTAACATCAAGAAGTCACCTTACTAACGATCGATCCTGGTGTGATTCACACCCGGGTGGCATGGTCAGAAGGTGAGCGTTCTGTCAATCGACCACCACGTAGATAGATAGATAGATAGATAGATAGATAGATAGATAGGCGTTTTGTATGTGATAATAAACTACATCATATAAAAAAATTATTATTATCTCAAAGCTCCCACGAAAAGTAAATTTTGGTATTAAGTTACAATAAGATGATATTCCGATAAAGAAACAAACTAAAACTATAACGATATATACACCGAAGTCGATAATCAAAAACAGAAATTGTTTATGACTCAATCTAGTAAATAGATACGAACCGAGATAGATAGATAGATAGATAGATAGATAGATATGAACGAACCACACTACGCTAACAGAATGAAAGTGAGACGTAAACAAACTAAATTATACAATTGCAACATCACGGATACACGCACACACGCACGTATGCGAATGGAGTGAGAGAAACGGTAGATTTGACTGATCAATTAAGTTGGTAGCATCTGTGACAATATGTGACTCATTCTGGTCGTTACGGCAATGTCTGGCTTTGGCCTTCGCGAGAAAAGTGTGTCGGCTGCAGCAAAGATAAAATGACGCCAGCACAGGACAATAATATAGGTGCGTTGGCCAGACATGTTGTCCAATCAAGGAAGGAGGATCCGTTTTCATCCATTTGCCATTCAGGAGCAACTGATATGCTGTTTAAACTCGTCAACCGAATCCAGCGCCAGAGGGATAGGGAAACAAACAGACAGATAGATAGATAGATAGATAGATAGATAGATAGATAGATAGATAGATAGATAGAATGAACTGACATAGATAGATAGATAGATAGATAGATAGATAGATAGATAGATAGATAGATAGGAATAAAGTGAGATAGAGACACGATTACAGATAGATTGATAAAGGGAGATATATAAATAATTTCAGATAGATATGAATAAATTGAGATAGAAAGAGGTGTGATTTCCGATAGACAAATTTGAGTAAGTTGAGATAGATAGATAGATAGATAGATAGATAGATAGATAGATAGATAGATATGAACACATGGAGAGAAATAATTTAGATATGAATTGATTAAAGTGAGAAAGAGAGAAATGTTTTTCGATAGATAAAAATGAATGAGACAACGATATAGAATTTTTTATCTATCAAGAAAAATATTGGTGAAGAAAACTTTGGCGTGACGCGTTTCGTCCTTAAGGATTTCATCGGACGAAATGACGGGTGATTTCAAATAGATAGATAGATAGATAGATAGATAGATATGAACTGAATAGTCAAATTGGCGGCTGATGTGAAAAATGGCTTTCGGTTCGTTGTTAACAGGCGCAAAGAATGACATTATTTTTAACGCTTCCCAAACTAAACTAAGAGACTCCTTTTTAGCCTTCCATCAGCATGGATGATGCTGACCTACAGGAGAGTGACTCTTGGGCTGACATGAAGTGGAAAGATTATATTGAATCCATTGCGAGGTCAGCTGCTAAGAAAGTTGATTCACTGTGTCGTGTTAGACAAATTTTCTCTCCAGATTCTATCTTAGATATCTATAAGTCTACCACTCGATTGATAGATATGAATAGAGAGAGAGAGAAATAATTCAGATAGATATGAATTGAATAAAGTGAAATAGAGAGAGAGAGAGAGTGATTTCAGATAGATAAATATGAATAACATGAGATAGTGAAAGATAGGATATCAAATACGCTGATATGAATAAGGTGAGATAGAGAGAGGATTGATTTCAGATAGATAGATAGATAGATAGATAGATAGATAGATAGATATGGAAGAGACTGAGATAGATAGATAGATAGATAGATAGATAGATAGATAGATAGATAGATAGATAAAGTAAAAAGGAAGGAAGGAAGGAAGGAAGGAAGGAAGGAAGGAAGGAAGGAGAAAGTGCCGCAGGAGAGAAAGGTACGGGAAAGAAAGAAAAGAAAATATGAAAAAGTAACTCGGAATGAACAAAAATCATCGAAAAAAAAGAAATCGAAGAGAAAAAAAAGAATGAGTAGAAAAGAAAAAAGGTAATAAATAAGAAAGAAAGAAAGAAACAAACAAACAAACAAACAAATGAAAAGGAAAGACGAACGAAAAAAAGACAGAAAGAAAAGTTAAAAAGAAAAAGAAACAAAGAAATTAGAACGAAAGAAAGAAAGAAAGAAAGAAAGAATATTGCAAACAGTTATCAAATGAGTCCGTGTTACAAAATATGTATAAATATATAAAAGCCAGCGTCCATTGTTTTTTAATACAAAAAATTTATCATGTTATGTATATTTTTATATTTATTTATTTTTCTCCTGATGTAATGAAAAATCGCTTCAAATGTCTCATTGAGCAGCTGAAGTATGAATGACCCCAAATGGCAAAAGCTAATACTACACATAATAACAAAACCTAATATTAAACCAAAGTCATGGACAACGCTCAAATCGAATAATAATGTGTGGGTGCTAAATACTTAGTAAAATCAACCAATTCCCTAATCAAACCGAATAAGCAAATTTGTGGGGAGGTTTTCTTCTTTCCGTCTTTTTTGTAGTTCATCTTTCTCCATTTCTTCCTTCCATTCCTTCAATCATTTATATTCATTATCTGCCCCCATTTTTATTTCCTTCCTTCATTAATTCATTCATTCTTCCCTTCATTATTTATTTCCTTCCTTACTTTTCTACCAATCTGTCCTTTCTTTCTTTTCTTTTCTTTTCTTTCTTTTCTTTTCTTTTCTTTCAATTTTTCTCTTTTTATCTATCTATCTATTTTCCTTCTCACTCTTTTTTTATGACACTTGTTTCTTCTCTTTCTTTGTTTATTTTCTATATTGTCCGCCTATTTTTGGTCCCAAGGACACCCAGTTTGTCTCTTCCCACCATTCACTGATTGTTTGCGGTTTCTTTTTCGCGCCTCCCATGTCCTCATTGCCGACCAACTTCACTTTTCCACATTTTTCTTTTTTCTTTCATAATTCCAATCGCTTATCACCGACTTTCAATGCCAGTCAGTTGACATTTCGGGTAGATGTTTCCTTATTAAAACAAGTTTATTTTATGTCGATTTTCTCTTCATCTCGCGTGCATATTCGATCTACTTAAATAGGCTGACACTTGATTTTTGACCATGAAATCTTTTCTTTTTTTTTTTTTTATCGATATGCTTCACACCACAGCGATCGATCATCATTTGCGCATTTGTGAAAGAGTAATCAGGCCAGCAAAACTCAGGCTTTTATTATGAAATGCATTTCAGCAGACTCTCATATAATAGGCTCGTGCACGCAGTCATTTATTTTGTACATTTTTAAAAATCTTACGACGATAATGCAAGTCTATCCTGACAAAGATCTCAACTGTTAATAAAGATCTATGCAAATGAGACCACAGTTTATATAGGTGCATCTCTAAAATGAATGACTTACGGCCATATCACGTTGAAACACCGATTCCCGTACGATCACCGAAAATAAGCAATGGTGAGCCTGGTCAGGACCTAGATAAGTAACAGCTTGAAAATACCAGGTGCTTTAAGTTTAGATGTGCGAGCGATGTAACGGGTAATCTGTCAAGTTCGTGACATTCACATCCTTGCAAATAACCTTGGGAAACGTAGGCATCCACGTTTTCTCACCCAGCTATGGATTAATTAATATTATCTAAAAAAAAAATTTTAAATTCTTGCAATCTCAAAATATTTTCTGGCTTTAAATAACCTTCAAAGGGTTGATAAGCCATAGAAAACGAATCAATGAAATCCTGATTAGCTACACAGGCATCGCTTTTAGATTTATTTACATTATCTGGAATATAAAATTATAGAACGCACCGTGATCACAAAATGAGGAATCAGTTTATGTATTGATTTTGATATAAAGTTGATCCCCCACTTTATATTTACATTATAATTTCTTCTTTTTTTTTCAAATTCTGATTAGTTATGAATCCACGTTTTTCCCCCCACCTATGTGTTAATTAGTAAGACTTGTATCGCTAAACCATTATTATATCAAAAAAATAGATTCTTGCAATTTCAAAAAATTTTCTGGCTTTAAATAACCTTCAAAAGGGCTGATAAACCGTAGAAAACAAATCACTCAATCAGTCAAATTAAGATGTCTTGATCTATTTCAAAATTGTTTATGCGGTTCTCTGAGGGATTATTTAATTTTTAATTCAGTAGCTTCTTCTATACAGAGGCAACGCGTCTCAAGTCAATCGCTACTTGCGTGGCAAATGTTCAAACGAGCTTAGAGGTAATATCTCAAACCTTTACAGCTAAGACTGATATTGTTACATCCACATCCACATGGTTGAATCATTCTAATCCTCTAAGCATTTATTTATAAGATGTTCCACTTGAAAGGCTTCTTCTCAACAACCGCTACTTTGTAAGCACAACAATCTGAACTTTTTCAAGTTTATTTTCAGCTGTTATTTATCCTTCCTATCCTTGTACTCTTCACATTCTACTTCCACCACTTATGTTCATATCACAGACCTCATTCAACAATCCTCTGCATTGAGTGGCTCTTAGGTAAAGAGAGATTAATTTTAAAATGAGGTTTCTACTAACCCACCACAACTATTAAAAATAATAGAAGCAAACCAGTCTGCAAAAAAGTCCTTGAACCTTTCTTTCTCTAAAATTCGTGTTTGTTTTTTTGTTTTTTTTGTTCGTTTTTTTTTTTGAGTGGGGGAACGCTATCTAGATATCTTAGATCTCTGCAAATTTTATTTAAACACTTCTATATTAACCACTGAATTCTCTGCTCCAGAATATATTCTTCCTTGTCAAAAGAATTCTAACGAAAATGGCAATGGTTTTGGTATTTACATTAAGAAAAAAAAATCTCCCAAAGTTAAGATAATCATCTCTGGGTTTTTCAGATTATGATTTCATGTGCTTTTTGACTTTCATTGTTACACTATGTTAGCCATCTGTTTTTTTCATTTATCGTCTCCTTCTTCTTCTTTTCAGGACAGTAGCATGTTAGACAGTATAGAAGCAGCTCCTTCATTATATTCATCTGTGAACCTATTTTTAATCAGTAATCAAGGCAACAATGTTACTAGTACTCAGGAGGTAACGGGGAATGAAAGTGAAAAAGAATATTGAGAATAGGGAGCGAAGAAAAAACAAAAAGTGAACGATAGACGATGGCGATTGAGGTTGCATTTTAATTTTTCAAGATTGTACTTATCAGGGAAGCGGTGAAGCGGAAGAGAGTTCGGCGGGTACGAAGTGCGAGGAAAAACTGTTGGGGTGGAATTGACGGTTGGATTTTCTATTTCAACAGTAAAAGGATGTGACCTAGATGCTAATCTAGTAGAACGCTTAAATTCATATATTCAGAGCACCAGGCTAAAAAGTTCGTACATATTATTAGAAAAGACAAAGGAAGTCACCCCACGTCGGTGAGAGAGTGATTGAAGTCGAGATGGATGGTCAGGGTCGATTACTTTACAGACTCTTCTTTGAATTTTTGCCAAGAATCTCGAGATTTACAGCAGGAGCACCAGACCAAATATGGCAGCAGTATTCAATGCATGGTCGAATGGTAAATTTGTAAATATTCAAGATGAATTTTAACGAGAAAGATTTTCTGGCACGACACAATGAACCAACTTTCCTTGCAGTAGATGCAGCAATTGATTCGATATAGTCATTCAACTTTATGTCGGTGGAAAATATGAGGCCAACAAGGGGTAGTGTGTTGCTCTTTTGGTATCTAGCATCAGGCATGCTGACGGCAGGCAGAAAAAGGTTCTATGCGGTGGTTAAATGAAAACAGTTTTGTTTGGGAGGTGTTAAAATTTATAAGTCACTTCTTGCCCCAGTTAATAACTGATTAGTGGTGCTTTTCAAAGCCAGGTTTACTTTGCCAGACCTTTATGTTTAGAGATTTTGATCATCATCATAACAATCATTCTAATACTAAAGCCCAACCTCTTTAATCCGGTACTTTTTATATCAGAACTCATTAGTTCATTGAGTGGCTGCGACGGTAGAAGTTTTGGCGATACAGTCTTTCTCTTTTTTTTATATATCTAACTCCCTATTTAGCCATTCAAGATAGTAAGTATTTTGGGGGGTGGGGGTAGGATTTTTAGCATCGGCATGACTGATGCTAACCCCCATAAGAATATCTCACTGCGCTCTCTGAGGTCAACGTTTTCCAATGACATGAAATGGAACAATTCTATTCAATCAATTACTAAGACAGTTGCTACGAAATTCACTTAACTATATTGTGCTAGACAATTTTTCTCACCAGAATATACCTTGCACGTTTATAAGTCCACCATTCGTCCACGCATCAAATATTGCTTCTATATTTGGTCTACTGCTTCTGCTATATATCTAGAGTATTCTTGATAAAATCCAAAGAATCTATAATGTTATCAGTCCAGACCTGGAATCTCGCCTTCAGTCTCTTTCCCACCACCGTAATGTAGCTTTTCGGTGTGTTTTCTATAAATATTTTTAATTTAAACTGTTTCGATGAACTTTCCTCGTTGGTGCCTCGACTTCACGAATTCAAGTTCACTACTAGATTGGCAATTAGGTCTCATAATTTCTATGATCTGTTGTAACCGTAAGTTCTATGGTAATAGTTTCTTCTTACTTTTGAAACTCTCTTCCGGCTTCCTCCTTCCTGTCAGCTAAGTTTT